AAGTACCTCCCCTTTTTGAATCTTAATACTAAATATCAAAATAATTTTTTCACAGTTATGTTAAGCATAAACAATAGCACATTTGATTTTGTACAAGGCCAAGTTCCTATTTGCTTTAGTGTCATCTTCCCAGAGATGTTAAATTTATTTTGTGGTACAAGGGATCAAATCCAGAACCTCTAGAACACTAGGCAAGTGCTCTACCACTGAGCTACATCTCTATCCCCTAGAGGTATAATTTTAATTAGTGTGATAACAATGAAATAATGGTAATAATTATGTGTGATGGAGTCTATTAGACACTTTACTAGAGTTAATAATGCTTTAATTTTTACTCTGAAAAGCATGTCCTGGTTAAATGTAAGGACTGATAGATTAAGAACCAACTTGAGATCACATAGCTAAGAGGAAGTACAGCAAGAGTACCACATCAAGTCCATCTTGCTACCTTTATAACCTTTCTACCCAGTCTGCCCCCACAGACCATAAATAGTTTGTGAGACCCGAGAACAAAAAGAAATGCAAAATCTTGGCTACTGACACTTATTGAATCAAACCTGCATTTTAACAAGATTGCCCAAGTGATATATATGCGTATTAAGTTTGAGAAGCAGTGCTTTACACCATACTGTGCCCTGTACTAGAAATTACCATGAGGTTTTGAAATCTTAAGGATTATTCCTTGTTTCAGTCCATGTGGATTATCTATTAACATCTCCTGCAAGATGAGGAAACTTGAATTAGTGTCTCTGCTACTTCAAATTGTTATCTACCTGCATCTTTGCTTTAGATTCTATTTAGATTCTAACCTAGAGGAACAACTAACATAGCTTGTGCACATTTGGTCAAGGTCTCACAATGCCAAATACAGTGCAGTGTTTTAACAGTTTTTACTCAAGGAATTAACACATCAGATTTATACTTGCAGCTTCATTTTAGATGGGCATTTAAAGAAAACAGGCAAATTACAGAGAACAAGCTAAGGCTAAAAAATAGCATTTTCTAAAGAAACCTGAAATTTCTGAAATAGTTGATGTTTTTAGATATCTAGCAATGAAAATCAGATTTGTATGAACTGGCTTCCTTACTAATTTGAGTTTGTGTCTTTTGTGTTTGCTTTTGAGACAGGGTTGCACTGCGTAGTCCAGGCTGGCCTTAAACTTGAAGCAATCCTCCCACCTCAGCAACTCCAGTGCTGGGATCACAGGCATGCACTACCATGCCTGCCTACTAATTTGAATGTTTTAAAATTAAAAAGTCACATTTTTATTTAAATGCACAAAAGGAGTATGAATGAACTAAGTTCAGAGAGGGACAAACTTATAAGTGAGCAGAAATCTGAGGCTACTTCTACCCTGAAAGCAATTTGTCACCTGGTAGAACAGATACACTTGAGGCAAAATTTTGCTGGGACAGGGAGAAACCAGTCATTTAAAAAAATTTATATATAACTCTAGGGTAACCACTAAAGTATTTTAAAGATATAATTGATGTTGTAAAAGGGTGGATAGAATGAAATTATACAAAATGCTCAATTAAAATCAAGAGAACCCAGAAAAAGGGAGAAATGAAACAAAATAAGGATGAGTATTTTAAGTTATTAATATCCTAGATGTTAATAGAACTATAGCAAAAATCACTTTAAATGTGAATGATCTTATCACTCCATCAGAGGAAGGAAAGGGGAAGAAGAAGAAGAGTAGGAGGATGGGGAGAAAGGAAGAGAAGGGAGTGGAAATAACAGTTTTTTATAATAAATCATAATCGAATTTTTGGCATATATCTCTGAAGGAGTTCAAAGAATTAAGTAATACTGATATAACAAAACTACCATCCTCCTTTATTATATGATAAAGGTTTCTTAGAGCCTCTTAGTACATATGAGCTATAGAAATAATCACTTCTTCAAGCAATTAATAAAATTCATCTAGAGACATTAATTGGAACAAATCCCTTTGTCTCCCTCTTTTTAATAAGATAGGTATTTCTACTTATTTGAATTTGTGAACATAATTATGCTATCATAGACATGATAGGTAAGAAGAGACTAATTTAAGTGCATGGAGAACAGCACTGTCCAGTAGAAAAACAAGATGTGTATAATTTTAAAATTTCTAGTAGCCACATTTAGAAAGTTAAAACGAAGTTTAAATTAATCTCAATAATATATTTTAGCTAACACTGACAGTAGTATATTATCTTTTCAACATTAATATCATACTGATACATATTCTATGCCTTGAAAATTCTGGCATGTATTTTACGCATACAGTGTATTGTGCATGCTAAATTTTCAGTGGTTAAAATGTGAAATATGGCTGGGATATAGCCTGGGTGAGGGGTTCCTGTTCAGCATGTGTGACACTCTGGGTTCAGTCCCCAACACAACAACCAACCAACGAAACCAAACAACAGGGCTGGGAATTTAGATCAGTGGTGCTGCCAACCTGCCTTGCAAGTGCAAGGACAGGAGTTCAATCCCTGGTACCAAAAAAACAAAAACAAAACCAAAAACTGGTTCTGTTCCTATAACAGAATCTCAGTGAAATCTTTGGGCTGGGGATTTAGCTCAATGGTTCTGGCCCCTGCCTTGCAAGCATAAGGACCTGAGTATGATCCCTGATACAAAAACAACAACAACAACAACAAAAAAAAAAACAACAACAAAAAATGTAGTGCAACTAAAACAGTTAACACTGTTTTAATGGAATGTAGGTGAGGAAATGCAGAAATCCTTTTCCTGCCTTCTTTAATGGTCATGGCCAAAACTCCTGTAACAAAAGATGATAGATTAGTAAGAGGAAAGCATAATAAATTTATCTGATCATAGGTTTAGGTGAAATAGGAGCCTTCAGAATGAAGACCCAAAGACTTGGCTGTCCATTTTAATTCTTATGTTCAATTAAGTATGAATTACACTGTGTAGAAATGATTGAATAAAAACAATATTATTTAATGCTAATAGAGGTAGTGGGAAATCCAGCAAGGCCTGTCTATTCAGTCTCCTTGTCCTTTCTGTGCAGCATTTCTTCCTTCCCAGTATAGGCCAGGACCCCTTATGAATGGGGGGTCTTAGGATATTATACTATGAGAAAAGGCAGGTCAGAGGAGAAAAAGTTTTTTTTCCCTTTGGAGTATAGATTGAACCCAGGGCCTCACATTCTAGGCAAGTGCTCTACCATTGAGCTAAATCACTAACCTTACACATTTATTTTATTATGAGACAAAGTTTCCCTAAATTGCCTAGGCTGGCCTTGTGCTTTACCTACCTCAGCCTCTTGAATAGCTAGGATTATAGGTGTGGGCCACCACTTACAGCAGAAAATTTCTTTATGGCCAGCTCCAAGGCAGAAAGGTGGGTTAAGATTGTTTTTAGGTTTTCTAATTTGCTTCAGGAAAAAGGTGTCTCTAGTTTCTGGGAGCTACCTTGGGGAAGATAAATTCTAGTTTCTATGGCTTGAATTGTTGGGGATAGAAAGAGAAAGGACAGATGGTCAGAAAAATTTTGCTTGTTAAGATTCGCTTTGGGGGACTGTTTTGTAAGCTCTTAACAAGAAAATCCAGTTGCTTCACTTTTAAAATTTAAATATACATTAATTATAATTTAGGTACTTCAGTCCCATCAGCCACATTTCAGTATCACATGGTGTTAGAGAATAAAGAAGGAATAAAGAGCAGCCGTTTGGGGCAGTAGGCATTTACTGATGTTTTTGCTCCTTCCCGATCTTTCCAAAGTTGGTATTAATTTCCCCGTCTTACTAGTGGTTCACAATCAATTTATTTTACTTTTTTTTTTTTTAAAGCGGGAAATGACCTCAAGATGTGGCGTTTTCGAGGCAATCACGGGGCCACTGAGCTAAATCCCCGGCTCCCTCTTCTCTGTTCTTGAGACAGTCTGGTTATATAGTCCAGATTGGCCCCCAACTCTTGATCCTCCTCCCTTAACCTGAGATTACACATTTCTTAACCCTTTAGCTATACTAACCGGTCCACAGCTGGAACCAGGATTTAGGGTACCTTCCAATCCTTTTCCTATGGCCTAAAGGCATGTTTCATCACCTGCATACTTTTGAGGAAAGTAAGGTAGTCTGACAATTAGTGTGACAAATGACCCAAAAAGTACAAAACAATATATATGTGTATACACACACACACACACACACACACACACACACACACACACGCACACATCTGAGTCACCTAGAATCATGCAAAAAATACCGATGTCCAGCCTTCACCCGCCTAATGTATGGTTCACAAAGTTTAAAGTGAACCTTGGAAACCTCCATATTAAGTGTGCCGCTTTAAGTGTCTCCGAACTTCAAGAACATTTGGGACCACGAGACTCAGCAAGGGACTCCCAAAGGCAGCGGACAGGAATTTAACACATACTGCTGCTGCCACGCGTTCGCGTTCGATTCTCCCCTGCTGTTTCCTAGGAGGGTGCTTTGCTTCTGCGAGAAGTTTTTGCAGGTTAAGCCCTACCCGCGAATCTCCCTGACAGGGAGTCCTTTCCGAAGGCTGTGAGAGACCTGAGCACGCAGAGGTAGACCGTGGGCCATGTGACTACAAAACCGGTTGCCAGCGGCGCGGCCATGTTTGAGGCGGGCACCCAGCCTCGTGTCCCGGGAGCCGGGACGCGGGCGAGGGACGCGGATACCAGGATTTAAGATGGCCACCGCTGACACT